GTCTCCCTTTGTGGTCCAGATTGGAGTGCAATGGCGCAATCTCAGTTCACTGCAACTTCCGCCCCCCAGGTTCAAGTGATTCTCATGCCTCAGCCTCCCAAGTAGCTGGGATTACAGGTGCCCACTACCATGCCCAGCTAGTTGTTGTATTTTTAGTAGAGACAGAGTTTCACCAGGTTGGCCAGGCTGGTCTTGAATTCCTGACCTCAATTGATCCACCCACCTCAGCCCCCTAAAGTGCTAGGGTTATAGGCACAAGTCACCGCGCCTGGCCTTCAACTATAATTTTAATATCCAGAACAAACTCTTAGAAAATCAGAAAATAGGCCGGGCGCGGTGGCTCCAGCCTGTAATCCCAGCACTTTGGGAGGCCGAGACGGGCCGATCATGAGGTCAGGAGATCAAGACCATCCTGGCTAACACGGTGAAACCCCGTCTCTACTAAAAAATACAAAAAACTAGCCGGGCGAGGTGGCAGGCACCTGTAGTCCCAGCTACTCAGGAGGCTGAGGCAGGAGAATGGCGTAAACCCGGGAGGCGGAGCTTGCAGTGAGCTGAGATCCGGCCACTGCACTCCGGCCTGGGCTAAGATCCGGCCACTGCACTCCGTCTCAAAAAAAAAAGAAAATCAGAAAATAAAAAACATTTTTTATTTGTCTCTTATTTTCTAATATTCAAAGGAGATTCATCAATGCAACATGGAAAACAATACACAATTTGTGTATTGTCAATTGTGTCAACTGGCTTGTCAACTGGCTTGTCATAGTCTATACCCTCAATCACAAAAAAATATAGCCTATTCAACTGAAAGCAATACTATAAACCAAAGACAACTGAGCAGTTCCTATCCTCTTAAATTTACAATCTAAGCTGCTAGGGAGATTTCCATTATCACAATTTTTATATTCAGAAAGAACATTTAATTAACTTAAAGCACATTATTTGTAAAGTGTATAGGCTAGGTATAATGAAAGAAATATTGCATCTGGAGTAACAACAAATTGGTTTGTATCCCAGTTTTACCATGAGACACTGGTGAAATCACTTATTCCTTCAGGCTCAGTTTCCTTATATGTGAAACAGAGGCTCTTTTATTCCAACTATTGAACATGTACTTTGTGCCAATCCCTGTGCTAGGAAATGGAGATTCAGGTCAACAAGACCAATTTCTGACTTCAGAGAGGCTGCAGTCTAGTGTGTCAATGAAGGATGAGGAGGAGGTGGCAAGATTAGTATAATCAGTATGAAGACAAAATTCATTGACCTGTAGATACCATAATAAAAGTGACTGCGCTATACAATTTTAAAAAGAGAGAGAGAGAACAGCTCATTCTATTGTGAATGACAAACAAACTTTTTTTTTTTTTTTTTCTTGAGACGGAGTCTCGCTCTGTCGCTCAGGCTGGAGTGCAGTGGCCGGATCTCAGCTCACTGCAAGCTCCGCCTCCCGGGTTTACGCCATTCTCTTGCCTCAGCCTCGACAAAAAAATTTTGAGACAAAATTTTGCCAGCCTACCTAGCTTATTTCTTCTTCCACCAGCACAAGAAATGGCATGTGCAAAGGCAAGGAAATAAAATGCAACCTAGTTTTAGAAGACAGTTTTGAGTGAACTGCAAATAGTTGGCAGGAGCATAGATTAGAAAAGGTGGGAACAATGAATGATGACACTGGAGAGGGAAACAAAGGCCTAAACATGGATGGTTTGGATGTCACACTGAAAGATCTTTGCTTCATCACACAGAAGGAAACAGGGTCTTTAAAGGGAGAAATATCACTCCATCTGTACAGTACAATGGCATCACCATACAGTCTTTTGATGGGATATGTGACTGAAGGAAGGAGAATAGCTAGCAAACTATCATAAAAGTCCAAATGAAAAATAATGAAATAGTTCAGGTGTGATGGCTCATGCCTGTAATCCCAGCACTTTGGGAGGCCAAGGCAGGAGGATTGTTTGAGGTCAGGAGTTCAGGACCAGTCTGGGAAACCTAAGGAGACCCCATCTCTACAAAAACTAGTTGGGTGTGGTGGAGCATGTTTGCGGTCAGCTACCTGGGAGGCTGAGGTGGGAGGATCTCGCTTACAGTGCAGTGGCCATACTCATGCCACTGCACTCCAGTATGGGCAACAAAGCGAGACCCTGTCTCAAAAAAAGGAAACACAAAAAAGAGAGAGAGAAATAATGAAATATAGAAGAATATCAAGGATCAGATATAAAAAATATTTAAAAGCTAAAATACACAAAACCTGGCGAAGAAACGGTTAGTTTAGGCAGAGAAAGAGTAAGAATTTACCATCTGGAGGGAAAACAAGTGGCATTGATGCCACCATCCCCCACTCCACATCTTACAGACACTACCTCAGAACTCTTCTTAGCCCAGCACTCTAGGAAGGCATAGAGTTCATGAGTGAAACAAAATCTACCTGACATCCCTGTCTTCTTATGATACTGCCTGTGGCTGGGCACGGTGGCTCACAACTATAATCCCAGCACTTTGGGACGCCGAGGTGGGCAGAGCACTTGAGGTCAGGAGTTCAAAACCAATCTGGCCAACATGTCGAAACCCAGTCTCTACCAAAAATATAAAAAGTTAGCCAGGCGTGGTGGCACACACCTGTAATTCCAGCTACGCAGGAGGCTGAGGCAGGAGAATCACTTGAACCTGGGAGGTGGAGGTTGCAGTGAGCCGAGATCGCGCCACTGCACTCCAGCCTGAGTGTGACAGAGCAAGACTCCATCTCGAAAACAAAAAAAAAAATGATACTGCCTGTGAGATGGTGTGAAAAATAAAATTATTTTTTATTATTTTAAAATATAATTGCTTCGCTTATACAACAACTCTATAGTAACTATAGAGTGTAAAGCAAAAGAACTGTCCCAGAAAAAAAATTCCTTGCCAAAACAACTAACTCATCTCTCCACAAGGATTTTTTTTTTTTTTTTTTTTGAAACAGAGTCTCGCTCTGTCGCCCAGGCTAGAGTGCAGTGGCATAATCTCAGCTCACTGCAAGCTCCACCTCCCAGGTTCACGCCATTCTCCTGCCTCAGCCTCCCAAGTACCTGGGACTACAGGCGCCCGCCACCACACCTGGATAATTTTTTGTATTTTTCATAGAGACAGAGTTTCACCGTGTTAGCCAGGATGGTCTCAACCTCCTGATCTCATGATCCACCCGCCTCGGCTTCCCAAAGTGCTGGGATTACAGGCATGAGCCACCGCGCCTGACCCCCACATTGATTTCTGTGCTCTCCATTCTGGGTCCCTATGGGGTAGCCAGAATGATCTTTCCAAACACAGATCTGTTTCATCTTACTTTTTCACTTAAAACCCTACAATTGGCCAGGTGTGGTGGCTCACGCCTGTAATCCTAGCACTTTGGGAGGCTGAGGTGGGCGGATCACCTGAGGTCAGGAGTTTGAAACCAGCTTGGCCAACATGGTGAAACCTCATCTCCACCTAAAAAAAAAAATTAGCCAGGCGTGGTGGCAGGCACCTGTAATCCCTGCTACTGGGGAGGCTGAGGCAGGAGAATCATTTGAACCTGGGATGTGGAGGTTGCAGTGAGCCACCAAGAACACAACATTGCAGCAAAACTCCATCTCAAAAAAAAAAACACAAAAAACAAACAAACAAACAAAAAAAAAACGTATAATGGCTATGAACTGCTCTTAGGATAAAAACCAAAATTTATAACAGGGTCCACTAGGTCCTGCATAATCCAGCCTCAAACTATATATACAGCCTTATCATAGAGAAGCAGAATAGCACAGGTTCTGGAGTCTGACCACCTGGATTTGAATTCAGTCTTTGTCATTTACTACTAACTGTGATCCGTGGTAAACTATTTGGCTTTTTTGAGCTTTGGTCTCCTCATCTGTAAAATGGAGATAATAATATGGTGGTAAAAATGGTGCCTGACACACTCTTAAGCATATATAAGCATTAAGTTAATAATGTCACATATGATTATGATATAATATATACTACATACTGATATACTAACGCCATCTATTTTTATTGTTGTTGTTTCATTATCTTCATCACCATTTTCATACCTTTTCTGTTCCAGGCTCACTGTTCCCACAGGTCTTAAAAAGAACCATGCATCTACCCAACTCAGGGCTTTCCTATTCACAATTTCCTCTGTCTGTAATACTCTTCTCCATGCCCTTTGCCTAATCAATTCATTCTTCATAATTCAGCTTACACATCCTTTCATTAGAGAGGCCTTTCCTAGCCATTCCCAGGCCTCAGACCACAACCAAAACTAGGTCAGATCCCCACTTTAGGCTTTTCTTTCAGAGTACTTGTCATAGTTTGTAATTATATATATTATTTGACCAATACTTTTGTAATCTCCACCTCCTCTACTAACATATAAGCTCTACAAGGGAAGGGACTAAGCTGACTTTGCTCAGTCCTAGATACCCAGAGACTAGCACAGACCACAAATTCTTAACAGAATAAAGAAAAGTACTACCAGATACAAGATAATTTTTTTTAATGACAAGTATGGAAAAATGGTAAATATACTACTTTCCTTCCACACAAACAAAACCACGTAGTTATAGCTTTCATTCAAAGAGCAAAAAACCAGCCAGGCATGATGGCTCATGCCTGTAATCCCAGAACTTTGGGAGGCCAAGGCGGGTGGATTGCTTGAGCTCAGGAGTTTGAGATCAGCCTGGGAAACGTGGCCAAACCCCGTTTCTACCAAAAATACAAAAAAATAGCTGAGCGTGTTGGTGTGTGCCCTGTGGTCTCAGCTACACAGGAGGCTGAGGTTGGAAGATCACTTGAGCCTGGGAGGTGGAGGCTGCAGTGAGCCAAGGAGATCGCACCACTGCACTATAAATACTCTGAGCGACAGCGAGAGCCTGTCTCAGTTTGGGTTATTTTAAACTTACAAACCAGAAACTGCCTAACTAAAATTTTTCAGTTGACCAGACGGAAAAGAAGGAATTTTTTAAAATATTTAAATCAGATGAAATGCTTACTTGAGCATTGTCTGGTTCTTCTTTAATTTTGTCCAGAAGCTCCTGCTGTGGTACCACTGCTTTGCCACATTCACCATCCAAAGGTTCTTTCATTCTAATTTTTTACCTCAAAGAGTTCTTCAGGCTCAAACGAATAGATTTCTTCTTGGTAATGGATAGCTGGACACCTAAAATACATACTCAGGTTTATTTTTTTTTTTTTTCTTCAGGCTTATCTATATGAAAGAAAAACTTTGTGTTGAGTGCATGAGGCTTCACGGCTCAGCATTTGAAAAACAACTCTTCTGGGGCCACAACTAACTTTTTTCTTTCTTCCTGCTTTCTGTTCCTTCAGTAGCTACATAAGAAAACAGCTTTCCAGCAACAGCTCCCACTTCTCTAGTATCTTTAAAGACACACACTCTGGTCTTTCCTACGTTGAAGTTTACTGAAGGGAATTAGACCAGCAGACCAAGACGTGGGAGGAAGTTACCAAACTCTGAGAAGAATGGACTTAAGAAATAGTTTCTGACCCCATGAGAGTCAGTACTTAGAGGCCCACGTCGCCTTTTATTTCTCAAAGAGGGGCACAACAACCTCCCAGCCCTGACCTGTAACTCAACCTTCACTGGAAGCCTCCCTAAGGGCCCCATTTCTTGGCCTAACGCTAGATGTGAGCTCAAGATGCCATCCATCGCAGGCGAACAACATGCACGCCCTTACTGAAAGTGAATCACCTGCCTCTTTCAAGGTCTCCGTGTGAGGGGTGGGGGACATCAAGCCCCTCTGAGACCCGCTTCACAATCGCCTTCCTGTAGAAAAGAAACTCAGTTGGCCATTCAGTAAATTCCCTTCCCCTAAAAGTCAAAGAACTAAACGGGACGAATTAAACCTAAAACAAAAAGCTCTTCAAAGTTGTCTTTATCCGAATAGTCAGGGATGGAAACGCACAACTGGTTGAAAAGACTGTTCCAAAGAAGAGATGAGAACTTTTGCGCACTCGCCACAAACATCTATGGGCGCTCATCCCTCCTCTGAGAACAGCACGCGTTCCGAAATTCTCCTTCCCACCAAGAATTCCCACGCCCATCTTTGAGGACTAACGAAGCAACGTGGTCTCCGACTGAGAGCAGCGGACCAGCCAGTGAGTGTCAACGCGTCCCTAAGGCGAAATCCGCAGCCGCCCCAGCAGCGTAGCCCACCTGGCACCGCCCCCGCCGCAACACCTCGTCACGTGGCGTGGCCTCCGCCCCCGCCGTCCCGCCCACTACCACTGCGGCCGCACCCACCTTCTGTCGCCTCCCTGCTACCGGAAGAGCACCGGACGGGGAATTTGCGAATATGAACCAAGCCCTCTGCGCCTAGACAAGGATTAGTTTCTCTTCTGGAATTCCGCCTGATCCATCACAACGCAGCAGCCGGCCAACCACGCGTGCGCAGGCCTAGTCTCCGCCCTCTTTTCCCGTCAGGCTCCGGACCTGAGCTGAGGAGAACTTCCCAGCATTCCTCTTTCCTCAGTTATGGTTCACTTCTTAAAGAGACCGAGGCTCAGTGGTGAAAAGGTGGAGGAAGGGGGAAGGGGTTTGAGGAAGAATTATCAGTGGCGTTAGAAGGCACTATAAGTGCTCTATAGCATTTTTGTTTGTTTGTTTGTTTTGGAGACAGAGTCTCACTCTGTTGCCCAGGCTGGGGTGCAGGTGCAGTGGCGCAATCTCAGCTCACTGCAACCTCCGCCTCCTGGATTCAAGCGATTCTCCTGCCTCAGCCTCCCGAGTAGCTGTGCTTACAGGGACGTGCCACCACATCCAGCTAATCTGTAGCATTGTTTAGTGCCCATTTCCTGAAAGGTGGCCTACTGAGAGAGCATGATATTAAAAAATGCTTGGCTTGCTGAGCACACTTCACATGCACCATCCCACTTAATCCTCACCATTTAACCCTAGGAGGTATAATTTTTTAATCTGGAGATAGAAATGAAAAGATTAGTTAACTTGCTCAAAATTGAGATTTGGGTTTTTTTATTCATTGTTTCACAGGTACATCTGTGATTTGTGACTGTTCATTCATTTTAATTGCTGTATAGTATTCTGTTTTGTGAATATGGTACAATTTTAATCGTCTATTGATGGACATTTGAGTTGTTTCCAATTTGTGGCTATTAGGAGTAATGCTTCTGTGAACATTCTTGTCATTGGTGGTGTTAAAAGACAAAATTACAACAAATTTAATTTAAAGATCTCAATTAGCTTCATTTGTGATTCTAGAATCTGGAAACACTTCATTCCAGAAAATAGAACAAGTGTTCCAATGAGCTGAGCAGAAGAGTTAGGTTTTATAGACAGAGAAGGGCTGGAGAAAGCAGAAATAAGAATAGAAAACAGATTGGTCCATTTCAAAGTAACTTTCCAAAAAATAAATAAATAAGTTATTTTCCTTGTAAAGCAGAACTGAGAAACAAAACAATAGAGAAATAACTGATTGGTTAACATCAGGTAACTTCAGTTTACCTTTTTTTGGTAAGGATTAAAGCAGAAGGAATTTCATTATTATGCTAATTGAAACTGGCACTCAGGGGAAATTAGACTCTTTTTCCTGACTTTTCAGAACTTCAGATAACAAGGTAGTTTCCATTTGATGACATGGAACCTCAGTGTGAGTGACTCCATTTTGATTTTTAGTCTGATTCATTGAGACCTAGTGCAGGAACTTAGCCCAAAACAATGGCCTACAATTTTTATTTAACAGTGATACATATGCACACATTTCTGTTGGGTTTATACCTAAAAGTGAAATTGCTTATTATGTATATGTAAAATTTAGGTAGATAATCTCAGGCAATTTTAGAAAATGATGGTTTCAGTTTATACTCCCTTCAGCCATGTATGAGAGTTTCAGTTTCCCAACATCCTTGCCAATAATTACTACTGCACATCTTTTTAATTATAACCATTCTGAAGGGGGTATAGTGGTATCTCATTGTGGTTTTAATTTGCATTTTCCCAGATTATTAATGAGGCTGAGCCCATTTTCATGTTTTTTGGGTATCTGGATATCTCCCATAAGTGCCTGTTCAAGTCTCTTGCTCATTTTTGTATTGCATTGATATTTTCTTAAGGGCATATATTCTAGATATCAGTCCTGCTATGGTTTGAATATATGTGTCCCTTCAAAATTCATATATTGGAACTTAAACATTAAGGCAATGGTATAAGAAGTGGAGCCTTTGGGAGGGGTTAGGCTATGAGGACTCCATCCTCGTGAATGGGATTCATGCCCTTACAAAAGAGGGTATTCATGCCTTTCACAAAGGTTCATTCCTTTTGCCCTTTTAACCCCTCACTGTATGATAACAATGTTCCTCCCAGCAAGAGGACAACAACAAAGTTTCATCTTGGAATTGGAGAGTAATTCCAAGACAACAAATCTGCCAGTCCCTTGATCTTGGACTTGCCAACCTCCAGAACTGTGAGAAATAAATGTCTACCATTTATAAATTACACAGTCTGTGGCATTTTCTTTTGGCAATCAGGAATACACTAAGATAAGTCTTTTTTGAATATACAATAGCGCCCCTCATCCACGGTTTTGCTTTCTGAAGTCTTGGTTACCCATAATCAACCACGGTCTGAAAATATTAAATGGAAAATTCCAGTAACAAATAATTCTTAAGTTTTAAACAACTTTTATTAAAGTATATTATAATTGTTCTATTGTTAGTTGTTAGTCTCTTTCTGTGCCTAATTTATAAATTGAACTTTATCATAGATATGTATGTATAGGAAAAAGCATTGCATATATAGGGTTCAATACTACTGGAGGTTTCAGGCATCTGTGGAACATCTTGGAACATATCCCCATGGATAAGGGAGGACTACTGCATATATTGCAAATATCTTCTCCCACTCAGTAGCTTGCCTTTTCACTCATTGGTGTCTTTTGATGAACTTAAAAGACCTTTGTGGCCTAGTGCGGTGGCTCATACCTATAATAGCAGCACTTTGTGAGGCTGAGGCAGGTGGAATTCTTGAGGCCAGGAGTTTGAGACCAGCCTGGCCAGCATGGTGAAACCCTGTCTCTACTAAAAATACAAAAATTAGCCGGGCATGGTGGGCACTTGTAATCCCAGCTACTAGGGAGGCTGAGGCAGGAGAATCACTTGAACCCTGGAGGCAGGGCTTGCAGTGAGCCAAGATCGCACAGCTGCACTGCAGCCTGGGTGGCAGAGCAAGACTCTGCCACAGGAAAAAAAAAGAAAATTAGCCGCGTATGGTAGTGTGCACCTATAGTCCCAGCTGCTCAGGAGGCTGAGGCAGGAGAATCACTTGAACCGGGAAGCAAAGGTTGCAATAAACCAAGGTTGTGCCACTGCACTCCAGCCTGGGCAACAGTGCAAGACTGCATCCAAAAACCAAACAAAAAACCCTTTGTGCTTAGTGCTTATTGTATACTCTTTAAGAAATATTTTCCTACCAAATGTAGAAAATTTCTAGAAATGTTATTAGTCTTTCACATTTAGTTTTATAATCCAGCTGAGGTTGGGTTATGTGTATAGTGTAAGGTAAGTCAGATTTCAACCTTTCCATGTGAATTTTACATGGATTAAGCACTATTTTTTAAAAAGACTGTCCTTTTCCCCACTGTTCTGCATTGACACCTTTGTCATGTATCAGTTGTCTGTGTGTGTGTATATATATATATTATATATATATATATATATATGTGGGTTTGTTTCAGGACTATGAAGGCTGTTCCTTTTGTTTCTCCTTGTGGAAATACCATACTGTCTTAATTTCTGTAATAGCTTTATAATAAATCTTAGTATGTGATAGAAAAAGTCCTCTCTCCTATTATGTCCTTCAAGATTATCTTTACTTTCCTTGGTCCTTTGCATCTTCATGTAAATTTTGGAATCAACTTGCCAGTTGTGACAAAACTTTCCTTATAAATTTTAGAATCCATGGGGATTTTGTTTACTATTACACTGAAGTGGTATGCCTGTTTTGGAGAATTGGTATTTGTTATTCATTGTGTTGAATTGTGTCACCTAAAAAGATGCGTTGGAGTTCTAACCCTTAAAATGGGACCTTATTTAGTCATATAGGATTGTTGCAGATGTAATTAGTTAAGATGAGGCCATACTGAAGGAAGGTGCGGACTTCATCCATTATGACTGGTGTCCTTAAGAGAGGAGAAGATATGGAGGCATACACACGCGAGGAGAACCCCATGCAATGATGGAAGCAGAGACTGAAGTACTGCAGTTGCAAGCCAAGGAATGCTAAGGATTGTTGATAACACCAAAACCTAAGAGAGGCAAGAAAAGATTCTCCTGTATAGTTTTCTGAGAAAGCATGACCCTACTGATCTTTAATTTTAGACTTCTAGCCCCAAGAATGGTGAGATAATAAATTCTGGGTGTTTTTTGTTGTTGTTGTTGTTGTTGTTGTTGTTGTTTTAAAAAAAAAACCCAGTTTGTGGTACTTTATTAAAGCAGCCTTAGGAGACTAATAACAGCATTATGTGGGGTTGAATCTTTCAATCCATAAAAATGATATATTTCTCCATTTATTTTGGTGTCTGTAATTTCTCTTAATGCTTTACAGTTTTTAAATATAGAAACTGCACACATCTTTGTTAGATTTATTCTAGGCATTTAATATTTCATGTCATTTTTAATGTAAATTTTTATTTTCTAATTGTTTTCAGTGTAAATATAGAAATACAATTATTTTTGTATGTTGGTCTTGAAGCTAACACCCTTGCTGAATTATTAATTAAACTAATTAATTCTAATAGTCTAGCCATTTTTCTTACTTTCTGTTTCCAGCTATGTAGAAAATAATGACCATTTTATTTCTTTCCAATTATATAACTTTCATTTCTTTTTCTTGCCTATTGCAGTGGCTAAAACCTCTAGTAATGTATTAAATGGAAATAGTGATATTGGGTATCTATATCTTGTTTCTGTTATGTTGCTTTCAACATAAAATTATTGAATATTATATTTACTTTAAGATGTTTGTAGTTACCTGTGGGAGGTTAAATATGGCCATAAAGTTGTTACAACTTTTCCCATTAAGAGGAGTCTTTAGTGTGCAGATGGCAGATTTAAAAAGAGAGAGAGAGAGAGAGGGAGTCTGTGATAGTTAATTTCATGTGTCAACTGGAATCTGTAGACTCAGTGAAATAGAATGTCCTCCCAATATAG